AACAATTGGTACAACCTGCCGGATCCTTTGTTGATTGAATCATGCCCATCTCCAATCAACAACGATTCGAGGTATTGGAAGAAACCGTTGGAAAAATAAAAAATGAGGTAAACCAGATCCGCCAGGATCTTTTCGCCAAGCTCGAGACTTTGGGAGAACAGAACACGAATCAGATGGTTTTGCTACGACAGGAGTTGCTCGCAGCGCTCGGCAGCGTCAGCTCCGCCGCTGATGCCACTTCGTCAGTGGGTCAGCCACCGAGTCAATCCCAGCACCCTCAACGTCGCCGCCCACTACGCAGCATCCACTCACACCCGATTCTCAACCGTTAGGGGGGGTTGACCACCCCCTGCTATGGCAGTTTCGCCACCCCGCTCCTCTCAGAAGTCAAACTACCACCGTTTGATGAGACGGAACCTTTTGGTTGGGTTGCTCGCTCTGAACAACAGTTTGAACTCCACCAAGTGCGAGCAGAACTCAAGGTAGCATTAGCGTGCATTGCCATAGAAGGCACAGCACTGCACTAGTCTCGATGGCAACACTTTCGCCGTCCAACCGCCACTTGGGCGGAGTTTTCTCAAGCCCTAGTACTTCGTTTTGATGATCGTTACATAGGGAGTTCCTACGAGCGCCTTGCCACACTTCGGCAGAAAGGGGGAGTTGATCAGTATATCAACGAGTTCATCCAACTGGCGACACAGGTGCCTGGTTTGACGGATGAGCACTACCTCGGATACTTCATCGGGGGGTTTGCAGTAGGGCATCTGCAACCGTCTACGGACACTAGACCCAAAAGATTTGGATTCAACTATCCAAATCAGCCACAATATTGAGTGAGAATTCAATGCTAATTATGCCACTACATATCAGCCGCTTGGACAATCTGCGAGTTCACGCCTTAGCAGCGGGGCACGGATCGAGCCGCCGGTGGGTCCCTCCAATCCAGGGAGTGGTGTCGGGAGCAATAGGTCCAGAACAGGTAGCAGCTCCACTGGCAGGCGTCCAGTGGCGTCATATCAGTCCTCCGCACGAGCCCCTTTCTGAAAACTGAGTCGTGAAGAGTATCGCGAATGTCAGTCTAAGCGACTTTGTTATTGTTGCAAGGAGCACTATACCCCTCTGCATAAGTGTGCCAGCAAGTCCCTTCGTACTTGTGTTGTGAATCCAGGCACGAGTTGGGTGGCCGAGCTCAAAGAGATGGACGAGGTTGAGGGGTGGACAGAAGATGTGGTAGGATTCGCCGAGCTCGAGCAGATGGAAGTGAGGGCTAATGAGCATGCTGATTTACCACTAGTCACGATGGCGGATCCTACAGCACCACAGACCCTGCGTCTCCGAGCATGATTGGACGAGTGAGATGTTACAGTTCTTATTGATAGTTGGGGCAGTCACAATTTTGTTTCGTCTGAGCTCATCCATGTGATTGGTGCCCCCATCGCACCGATCGGTGCTGTCAATGTGATCCTCGGCGATGGGCGAAAGATCCAGAGTGAGGGTGTTTTTCGAGGATTAGGCCTTGATCTAGGAGCTTGGATTGCGAATGTGGATTGCTATGTGTTTCACTTAGGAGGAGTGGATGTGATCTTAGGAGTGGCGTGGCTACGCACTCGACATTAATCTTAATTGGGGAGCCTTGACTATGACATTCCGCGCTAAGGACTGAGAGGTTCAGTTATAGAGAAACCTAGCTCTCTGTCGCTCGCAGGAAAACCTCCAAAACATATTGAGTGGAATCAATGAGGGCTATTGTGCGGTTATTGCCCCGTCCCCCTTGTCATTTCCGGCGGGCAATTCCACAATCTGCACAGACGGGGTCCACGCTGTATTAGAAAAATTCACGGAGGTCTTTGGGGAGCCATCCGATCTGCCCCTTGTAAGGAACTGGGACCACCACATTGTCCTTCAGCACGGTGCGAGTCCTATGTCCGTCTGACCGTATCGCTATGGGCAAGTTCAAAAGGACAAAATCGAACGGTTGGTCCGCGACATGCTCCTCTCCGGGACAATACATCCAAGCACAAGCCCTTTCTCAAGCCCGGTGCTCCTCGTGAAGAAGAAGGATGGCAGTTGGCGATTTTGCGTTGATTATCAGGAGCTAAAAAAAGTCACTATTCCCGAAAAGTACCCTATTCCGGTGATTCATGAGATGCTAGATAAGTTAGCGGGAAAATGAGCGAGAGTATTCTCCAAGATGATCTAAAATCTTCCTATCATCAAATCCACATAGCTCGCGCTAACGTACCAAAAACTGCCTTCCGCACGCACAGTGGACACTACGAGTTCCTTGTCATGCCCTTTGGCCTGACGAATGCTCCAGCCACTTTCCAAGTCGTGATGAATGATTTGTTTTGCCCCCATCTTCGCAGGTTTGTTCTTGTCTTTTTTGACGATATTCTAATGTACACTTGGGACGACCATGTGGAACATCTCGCATGTGCCTTAAGAATACTAAAAGATAATAAGTTCTTAGCTAATCGAAAGAAGTGTGCTTTCGGTTGCGAATCTGTCGAGTACTTTGGCCATGTGATCTCCGGTCAGGGTGTGGCCATGGACCTGACCAAGGTTCAGACGGTGACGGGCTGGCCACCCCCTAGCTCGGTCAAGGGTGTCTGCGGCTTTGCGGGACTCACTGGATACTATCATCGATTCGTGAGGAATTATGGCTTGCTAGCTCGCCCTCTTACGAAGATCCTTAAAAATGAGAGGCTCTTTGCCCCTTTTCTCTGGACGGCCGCTGCGCAGGAGGTATTCGCTACCTTAAAGCGCGCCCTTACGACCGCCCCTGTCCTCGTGATGCCTGACTTTACGAAATTGTTTATTGTCGAAACAGACGCTTCTGCCTCAGGTATTGGTGTTGTTTTGATGCAGAATGACCGCCATGTGGCATATTTCATCAAGGATTTCTCCCTTTGAGGGCATGGAAAATCGGCATATGAGCGCGAACTGATGGCGCTTGTGCTTGCCATACAGCACTGGCGACCATACCTTATCGGCAACCACTTCACTATGCACACAGATCATCACAGCCTAAAACATCTTATGTCACAAAAAATCGGGACTCCCGCACAACAAACTTGGATGGAAAAGTTGTTCGGGTATTCATTCGAGGTGGTCTACAAAGCGGGGCGGGTAAATTCAGCCACTGACGCACTTTAGCGTCGATCTGAGGATGGACCTCCACCGCTGGCTGTGCTCACCACTGTGAGCCAACTTGTTTGGCCGGCGACGGATGAGTTGTTCGTAGAACAGCGTAGCGACCCGCTGTTAACGCGGATTATATCTGATATTGAGTACAGGGACGCATTGCACCATGGTTACGAGTTACTGTACAACATATTATATTACCGCGGTAGATTGGTCCTATCCGAGATTTCCAGCTGGATTCCCATATTATTGACATAGTTCCATAATACACCCCATAAGGGGGCAAGCAGGAATCCAGCGGACTTACCAATGATTGGCTGCAAGCGTTTATTGGCAAAGGATGTATTTCACAATAAAGCGCTATGTTCTAGCCTGTCTAACGTGTCAGAAGGCGAAACACGACACCCTATCTCCGGCAGGGCTTCTGCAACCGTTACCGATTCCTAATGCGGTGTGGGAAGACCTCTCCATAGACTTCATCACTGGCTTACCGAGGTCCTTGGGATACTCCTGCATCCTAGTTATGGTGGACCGTCTGTCCAAGTATACTCACTTTCTCGCCATACGACCTCCCTTCACTGCAGCTAGAGTGGCATCTATATTTGTTTAGAAAGTGGTGCGCCTCCATGGGGTTCCCCGCAGCATAGTCAATGACCGCGGATCGGTCTTCATGAGCAGATTTTGCAAGAGCTATTCCGACTATAGGCAACTAAACTACAGTTCAGTTCTCCCTATCATCCTAAATCCGACGGCCAAACCGAGGTAGTGAATAAAGTGTTGAAAACCTACTTACGTTGTTTATCCTCTGAGCAGCCCCACAAGCGGGCGTCGTGCTTATCCTGGGCAGAATATTGGTATAGTACTTCCTTCCAAACCTTTTCGAAGGCAACACCCTTCTCTATCGTGTACGGCAGACCTCCACCGTGCCTGCACCGATTTTTACCCGACGAATGTCAAGTCGCGGCAGTGGGGGAGCTCCTTGGGGGTAGGGATGCGATCCTTCAGCTCCTCAAATACAACTTGGACAAAGCTCAACAGCGTATGACTGGCAGCAAACTGGCACCATAGAGAAGTTGAGTTCGTGGCAGGGGATCTAGTTTTCCTCAAGCTCCGACCTTATCAGCAGAATTCGGCTCGGCAATCCAAAATTTTCAAGCTGTCCGTACGTCACTTTGGGCCGTTCCGAGTTCTTCAGAAGATCGGGGTGCTGCATACAAGCTGGAGCTCCCTAGTGGTTCTCGGCTTCATCCCGTCTTTCATGTTTCCATGCTGAAACGTGTCATTTCTGATCACCCAGTGGAAGCCCAGTTACCGGAGTCCTTGGAGCTCCAGAAAATACCCTTATTCGAGCCCGAGGCACTTTTAGACTGACATGTTCAAAGGCGCGACGACAACCTCACACCTCATGTTTTGATACGTTGGCATGGACTCACGGATGAGAATGCCACTTGGATTGATGAGGAGGAATTGCGCCTCCAATTTCCTGACTTCCACCTTGAGGACAAGGCGGTTTTCAAGAGGGATGGAGTTGTTATGGAGCCGGGTAAGATGAAAGTTTACACTAGAAGGGGGAAGAAGGACCATACTCATCTCGGGCTGATCGTGGCGCAGGAGTGAATACTTAATTGTTAATTATTATTCTATCTTTTTATTATTTCTTTATTATTTTATTTCCCTTTTAACTCTTGAACTATGAGTCTTGAGTTTGGCTCATAAGTCCACCTATATATATGGCGCATCTAAGTCATGTTAGATTAGGCAGTCATTATTTTGATTTTGATTACAGAGCGAATTGATTTTTCTCTGGTACTCTATTTCCTTGATTCGAATAAATTCTCTTCGAAAACCCTAAGTCATAACACAATCATCATATATCCATTCATTTCATAGCACAGATATTATTATTAGCTTAGCATTAGCATTAGTATGCAGTGCTGAAGTAAGTTTCGAGCACATTAGCTGCCAATATCTGTAGCACTCTAGCGTTGTTATTCCCGACACAGCGCGGCGTCTTGAACTGGCTCACCGCTGCTCCCATCTCCACAAAATGATCCATTATCTTGTGGAACGTCCCTCTCTTGAGTATGCGCAGCTCCAACGGCCCGATGGCCTTCACCTTGCGCGACCCCATGTACCCGGCGTCCACGAATGATTTGTCCAGACAGTTGCAGCATTCCTCCAGAGTCTCCTCACTCGCTTTCCCGCTGATTTCCCAGTAGATTATGTAGTGCCCTGGATCCGTCGATGTGTCTGCCAAGCTCGTGAAGTCCATCACTTCTAGCTTCTCCTTCGCCAGGAGCTTTGCTGCTGATTCCACGGCTAGTTGCAAGTCCTTCTCGGTGTTCTTGTCGATGTTGATGTTGAGGAGAAGGTTCCTCCTGCACATGAACTGGAGCTCCGGGGTCGAGTTGTGGAATCCTCGGACCTTCACCACGTCGCCTAGCTTGTATCGGTACAGACCTGAACGCACAGCATCAACATGAGCTACACTTTGATGTACAATTGATACATTTGAGCTGAGTGAGGCGAGGGGAGGGTAGGCTACCTACCTGCGAAGTTGGTGAGAATGACCTCATAATCCTTGCCCACCTCCACCTCAGTTAGCCCTACCGTAGGGTGGGGCTCCTCCACCACCCACGGGTCTTTATCCAAAGGAACAAACTCGAAGTACCCAATGTTGGGGAGGACAGCAAAAGTGGCCATCTCTGGGGGCAGCTTAGGATTCACATTTGCCCCAATCCATCCTTCGGAGGATCCATAGTCTGCACTCAGCAACGGCACATCTCCGGCGTAGTGCCTCAGCTTCTTCAGATACGGCTCCATCGACCCTGTCATAATCCCATACACATATTTCACATTTGGGAACATCTCCGGGATCAGTCCATACCAGTTGCTCAGCCCCATGCACTTGCTACGGATCGTCTCGGCCAGCTCCGGGTCGGGCCTCAGCAGCTTTGCCATGGAGGATCGGATGGACTCCGACGTGATCTGGCTGTTCAGCGAGCCTTCCTGGATGTCGTTCGCCAGCTCTTCCCAAACCTGCTCGAAGCTACGGAAGGCGTGGACGATGCTGTGGGCGAATGTCGACGACACGACCTGTATTTCGTCGCGGAACAGAAGGCCGCAGAGGAGGTGGCAGTAGAGGGATTGATGGAATGTGTCGCCAAAAATCACCTCGTCGGGGCTGCAACACGGCATCTGCATCACCCGCATTGTTTTCTTGAACTCGATGTTGCGGTACACATTGGTTGTGGCAGTCCCGGCGCGGAGCCCTCCTTTGGTGATGAACTGCTTGCTGCCGTAGATGAACTGCAGTGCCTTTCCATTCTCGATCGGATACTCTCTGTGTGAAGTCGGGGATGGGATATGTTTAGTGTCGTTTGGTGTTGAAATCAACATGCGTGAAACACGAGGCAATAGAAGACACTTTTGGGAAAGAATCGAATAGACTAGTTACCTGTTCCGAAAGGCAAAGGATGTCTTGTATATCTGCATAGTATTGTCAATCAATTCGTCGTTGAAGGGAACGTATTTTGGCTTCCCTTGGCTGGTACCAGAGCTGCAAGAACGTCCAAATACATCAGTCGCCAACATGGACCAGATAGTTAAACAGATCAAATCGGGACCAGTTGATCATTTAGCATGAATAATGATGTATCAGATTGTCAGCATTCTACTAATGATCCGACAACCTATAATAAGATGCTCGCTCTACGGGAAATAAAAAAAAAAAAAATCATCAATTGTGTAAACAAAGGGAAAATCTAGTATATATGTAAGCACCACAGAACATCAGAGACTCTTGGAGCTACTACCATTTTCCCACCTAAGAATATCTCAGGGAAGCATAACATATCACTGCAGGCAACAATGGAAGGAATGTCTAAAAGGATTGAGTGAGTACCTCAAGGAGATTGTAGTGATTGGTTTTCTGGTGAGAATTGATGCATTTTGGCCTTCGGCGATTCGACAAATGTACGGTTCCAAGTCCTTGTGAGTGACGAGAGGCACGCATGCCTTGTAACTCTCAGGATCTGTTCTCCCATCAAGTCCACATTTCCGCAAATACTCTGTTCCGCCATTTTCTTCCAGGATTTTCCTCAAAGTCTCCCTCTGTACTCTCCCTGCATCCTTGGTTAACTCCTCAAATTCCTCGATGATCGTCTCTGAAACGCATCTCGCGTCCATTTTCTCCAACATATTCCCTGACGGGTCGAGACTGCAAATTTAAGGCCAAATCTGAATCATTAAAATGATAAACTTTCCAACTGAATATTAAATGACGCGTTTACTAATTATTCACCAACTTAATCATTAGTGGTGAAATTTCACAACCGACTCATAAATATGAATTTATCACCTGCAAGTTTATGACCAAATCTGAATCATAAAATGATGAAGTGACCAAACAATAGCAAATTTGCCAACTGAATCATAAAGATGAATTTTCTGCACTTTTTCTTGGACTTTTAAAAACCAAAAACTAAATAACAGGATCGCTGTAGATGGTGGAAATTGTTGTTACAAAGAATGATAGGCCTAATGTTGAATCAAGCTGCGCGTGAGATTCTATGATTTCTATGGTCATGGTAAAGGTCAAAAAATCTGTGATTTCGAAAAGTAAAAGTGCTAACTTAGAATAGATAGATAGATAGTAACAATAAATGCTGCATAGTAGGTATCTTGAGACCCAACAAGGAGATTCTTCCATAGTTGTAAACACAACAGATTTGACCCGAGGTTGATTTGGAGGGAAAAAAAGTCATGATTAAATAACACTGTACATACGAATCAATCAAAAAATTGGTTAGATTCAATGCACAAGTAGGATAAAAGTCACCTAAAAATTTGTAGATATCGATGATGAATGATGAAAAGGACGTATAACTCAACTCGGAATTTACAATTGCACAAAAATACAAGTCGAGAAAAGAAAAAACAGAACATTCAATTCAAATCATTGTAGGTCAGCAATTATTTCACCAATAAGAAAAATTAGTCTTCTGCTACAGCTGAATAAAACAACAAGACGCGAACAGCAACTCCCAAGTCATAATCACCCCATAAACGGACTTTCAAAAATCGAACGATTCTCAGCATGAATCTGAAGAAATCCGGATCAAAATTATTGACACGAACCCATACCTTTCGATCAGCACGTTAAAATCCTCCCCCTTCCGGACCGAATAGGAAAACGCCTCAACAAAGGTGAAATTCACCTGCAATTAATTATCCAATACAGCAGCGAAGGTTCCGCGGAATGCAGAATCGGTTATCCCAGCAGCTGATTCACTGCCAGTGCGTGTTCTGCGTGAGAGAGAGGGAGAAAAAGCTTTGGAATTGGAGGGAAATGGCGCAGCTAGCTAGCAGAGAAGCTGTGGTGTTCTACTGACTTAGGTACACACTGCACCCACAGATATATATATACACACATACACGCACACACACATATATTGCGCACGCGCGCGCCCGCACAAGTGCAGAACATGCGGGGCTGTGAAATACCGAGAATACCCCTCGGCGATGGTGGGGTTGGAGACTTGTGGAGTGGACAATTCCGGCCGGGCCTTGTCACGATGCAAAATGGATAATGACGTACGCATCCATTATTTGCGGAAAGCTGAAACAAAAATTAAAAATTAAAAATTAAAATTAAAATTAAAAGTTATGTTGATGGGAAAAAATAATAAAAAATCATCTGGACTATTTATTTAATTGCTTCTCTTTCCAATTTATTTATACTACCTTCATTTGTATGTATTGGTTTACCAGTTTTAACTTTTCTGTCCCAAATAAATACTTTGTTTTTCTATCATTTACATTTGTATCTACTATTTTCTCTTCTTTACTAAATTGTCTATTTGTCATTTTTAATTTGTTCAAATTTAAAAATTTTATTTTTTAAAAAAATTAATATTTAACTAAATATTAAAATATTCTACTTTATACTTTTTTATATTATTTTTCAAGGATATAATAAATATTATATTACTTTTTTACACATATATAAAAAAATGCTAATTTATTTTAATTCACGTACAAAAGTCAAATAAAAAATTTATCAGTGAACGAAGAAAATATTCCTTTTTATTCTTTCATCTAAAAATACTCATTTTTTTAGTAAAAATTATACTATTTTTTATATTTTTATTATAATAAATAACAAAAAAAAATATACATTCACGTTAAAATTGGTGCCCAAAAATTTGAACACATTCTTATGTGACAAAATAAATAAAAAATTATAATATTTTAATATAAAAGTAGAATAGATAAAAATAAAAATTGTTTATAAAATTTTATTAAATAATTATTAAGAAAGTAATTGATTAAAATAGATAAGGTAAATGAAAAATTAATTATTATATAATAAAATTGTAAATAGATGTTTGTTCTTTTACTATTTTAAACCAAAATGAACACTATTTATTTAACATAATTTTCAATAAAATACATTATTTTTTTATAAAAAATCACATCAAAAAACTATTAAAATAAAAACTCAAATTAACACCTCATTTCAAATCAGTTTTAAACCAAAAAAGAATATTTACCATTTTTGTCCGTTTCAAAACAACAGTCTTATTTTTATAAATAATCATGTCACCATAAAACTATCCCTACTTTTTTATTTTTATTACACGATTTCCATTACTTTTTACACTAATACACTCACAAAGACAAATAAGTCTTTTATCCATATTTTTTACCAACTACCAATATACTATCAATATTTCTTAAATCTCGTGTACAACCTAATTAAGATTATATTTATAGGACGGATAAAGTATTATATTTTAGAGAACAACAATAAAATTAACATAATCATCCGAAACCGAAGAAATAGTAAAAATATATTGATTAAAATACACTCCCTCGGTAGGATATTTATTTATTTATTTACATAGTTTAAAAATAAAAGAATTTTAATTGTAGTAATAGTTAAAAGTAATATAAAAGATATTTTCAATCTTACTTCTAAATATAAAAATAGTGATATAATTATAAAAATGTAAAAATTAAGAAAAATTGTATTGAATTAGAAAGTCCACAATTACTAAAATGAAAAATATATATATTATGGACACAAAAATATAGTGAAATATATATATATTTTTATACGAAATGGAAAGAGTTTTTAAAAGGAGAATAGTTAAATTACAAAATAAGATACTCTCTTCGTCTCACTCCAAACGAGTCTTTTAGGGTTTTGTAGTAAATTAAAAAATAATAATATTTTATTGATTAGTAAAAACGTATAAAAGGTTCTGACATTTTTGCTATTTGACTTTAGAGATAAAGTAAGGGTTTGTTCGTTTGAAGAATTTTAACAAAATCCTATTATTCATCCAAAAATTTTCCCCCAAAAACATCAAATGAAACACCTATTTTTCATTTTTTATATTATACTAAAAATTAATTTTACATTCAAAACATCACATCAACACCTATTTATATCACATCATGCAACTATTCAAATTCAAAATTTTTACTATTAAAATCCCAACTCAAAATCCAAAACCCCCAAACAAACACACCCTAATTGTATTTGTAATGATATGTTTATAATTTATATAAAAATTAAGGATATTTTAGTATTATTGAATAATTATTTTAATTAAAATAAAAAATAAATACTTTGAAGCGTGGAACGGACGAAAATTATAAAAAAAAAAAGTACAATTAGGACGGAGAGAATAGCAAATATTAATAAGAAACAACACATTGACCAAAAACATCTTTAAAGGTATAGTAGGTAGATTATAAAATAAAATAATATTGCCTTGTCTTATACTCCCTCCATTTCGAATAAATTGTCTATGTTACTGTAAATACGGGAATTTAGATCAAGTATAATTAATAAGTAATTAAAAAATATATTAAGTAAAAATAATTATAAATTAAGATTAACATAATTAAATAATTTAATTAAGATTAAAAATAATAAATTATAAAATTTAAAATGTAATTAAAATATATAATTATATTTAAAAAAAAGACAATGATAAATTATGTAGAAATGATCAAAATAAAAATTGTAAATAATTTATGTGATTACAAAAGAAGTATCTATTACTATATTTTTATTATTTTACTTGTTCCAAATTAATTGTTCTATTATCATAAATAGTCATATTATTACAAAATTATCTATATTTTTTTTATTATTATATGAATATCACTAATTTTTATATCTATATAAAAATACATAATTGCAAAACAAAATGAACATATAACTATTATTTTGCATTTACCATAATAAAGTATTAATATTTTTTCAATTTTATATCATAAAAGTATGTATGAACTTATTGACATGAGACTAAAATGATATATTAATGATCTTAAATAAAATATAATAATATTTTATTAATGTGCGAAAGTTGTAATTACTAAATTAAAAGATTAATATATTGATTATATACAATCCGAAATAATAAAATAGATATAATGACCATAGACGGATAATATAACATTTTAGATCGAAAAAGATATGTGATAAATAATACTGCCTCCATCTCGCAATAAGGGTGGCGTTTGCTTTTTACACGTAAATTTTTTAATATTAGTATTATATTGGATTGTAGTAAAAAAGACAAAAATACCCCTATTAGTATGGTGTAATATAAAAGTAATGACATTTGTGTAATATACTGTAAGTTGAAAGAATATTTATTATGTGAAGTAGGTAGTACAATTACTAAATTAGGAAATGGTAACCTTGTTTTGGGACGGACGAAAATAAAAAATAGTAAAATTTCAATGGAACGGAGAGAGCATAACATTTTAAATCGAAAGTTATAATTTTGATACGATGTTTATAAGAGAAAATATCATCTGTCAAATCTATGTAAATCTGCTGGACACAAAGACTGATTAATAAATAATAGTATTTTAATATTAAAGTGTGATAGGTAAAAAATAATTTAGGATTATTATGAGAAAATTATTAAAGACTAAATAAAAAAAAATGATTGAGTAATTAAAAAAAATAGTGACAAATTAATTATTAATTATTAAAATAGGAGTATAATAAAATTAGAAATAAATAAAAATATTTATTATAAATAGAATAGACATAAATTTAATGATCAATTAAAAAATAAATAATAACATAATTTTAATACAGGGATACTAATATAATAGTATTTCAAATGGAAATCTATTTATTACAAATAGAATTCGATCCCATTTGTCAGATATAATATGAACACGCCCGTGTTTGGTAATAAAGACAGCCTAATTAAAAAGAGATGTGTTCTGAAACGATACATAACACGGTCTAGAAAATCAAGAGAATCGAATATATTATTTTGTCTATATAAGGTAGTTAAAGTGATAATGTGATTCTCCTGTTTAGTAGCGAGGTCCAGGGAGTCGTACACCAGATGGGGGGCGCCCGCAATTGAATAATGTGTGGACTTCTACACAATAAATGACAACGGTGTTGAGGTCCAGCCCGGACTAAGAATAACAGGCAGCACATGCAGTTTCCCATCCAACGGTGTGTTTGGTTGATTATTTTATTTTTTCGTTGAAACTTATTGGCTGAAATATATTTAATTAAATAATTATTTTATAATGCAATATATATATATATATATATATTAAATAGTTTTTAAAATTATCTTTCAATTAAATAATTTAAAGTAATTATTATTTTATTAAAAAAATAAAAATTTATATAATAAATAAATAAAAATATTTATATTTTAATAAACTATTAATATAAATTATTTTTAAAGAAAATAAGTTT